GAGATAAGTATGCGTGTAGTGTGGTTAGATATTGCCAAATTGCTCTTTATAGAGATCGTACAATTTTGCACTCCTACCAGCAGCGTATGAAAGTATCTGTTTGTCTACTGCCTCATCAACAGGGTGTGCTGTCAAGCTTTGAGTCTTTGCCGATCTAGGATGAGAAATGTTATCTCAGTATAGGTGTAAAGCAGAGCCTGTGGAAAGGACACAGTCTGAACAAGAATCACCTAGTCACACACATTGAATCGGACATGTATTTTTCTCTTCTCCCTCCTGTAACTACTAAAATGAGAGTATGGAAATGTAAAGAATTTAAGAAGATAGTGCTTTTTTTATTCACACACTATAGTTTTGTTATTTAAGGGGTATATGTCTATCTAATTTTTTTCCTGGTGAAATGTCTGTTTAGAACTTTTGTCTGTCTTTCTGATAATATTTGGTTTTATTTTACTGTATTTTGAGAGTTCTTTATCTAGAGTGTCCACAGTGTACAATGGCTTGACTTATGATTTTCAAAATCAGTTGTTTTAAAAACAATATGAAAGTAGAAACCATATTTTGAATTTTGAAAATTAAAATATTTTCTGGTCTAATAATGTGTAGTATGATAATCTTTCACAATGCTGGGCCAAATTATCTAACACAAAACCTATTTTATAATTAAGTATTGAGTATCTCAATGTAATTTATTGAATACTGTATTGAAAGTATTCTGAGCATGTTTAAGGTGGAATAGGCTTAGCTGTGGTGTTTGGTAGGTTAGGTATACTAAATGCATCATCAATTTAGGATATTTTCAACTTAATAAAAATTGAGCTAAGCTATAAGGTTAGGCATATGTAATGCATTTTTGACTTAGGATATTGTTGTAAATCAAGGAACATCTGTATATTAATGATATTATCTTTTGGTTTTTGATACATGTATTGCAGATACTTTAAATTTATTATATGTCTTTTGAATGTGCTTCTGTAGTGTTTTACCATGATAATTTTTTTCTTTTCTTGCACAATGCTTGAGAGAGGCACTAAAAAACTAGTTGATAAACAAGGCTGGGGCTTAGTAATAGTCAAGGATTCATTCTGTGAAACCTGTCAAGAGAAGAATCTACCAGTTCCTTAATGGGTAAAGAGGAGGGACCTTTTATAGCTTGCAGATCTTTATTTATTCTCCTCTTTTATTTTTTCTTGCCCATTTTTGTGCCTAGTGTCCTTAATTCTGAATTTTCTTTGGTTCTTTTCTTTTTTCCATAGTAAACCTCCACTCTGCAGCTCTGTTAAGAGTATGATAGGTACTTGGCTGTGTGTTATAGATTGGGGTCATGGGGAATCTGCCTTTTTTTTTTTTTTCTTTTAGAGACATGGTCTCACTCTTTTACTCAGTCTGAAGTATAGTAGCTTGATTTTAGCTCACTGTAATCTCAAATTCCTGGGCCCAGATCATTCTTTTGCTTCCATGTCCTGAGTACTTTGTACTACAGGTGCTCACAACCATGCCCAGCTACTTTCTTTTTTTTTTTTTTTTTGAGACAGAGCCTCAAGCTGTCCCCCTGGGTAGAGTGCCGTGGCATTACAGCTCACAGCAACCTCCAACTCCTGGGCTCAAGCGAGTCTCCTGCCTCCGCCTCCCAAGTAGCTGGGACCACAGGCGCCCGCCACAACGCCCGGCTATACTTTCTTTTATTTTTATTTTTATTTTTATTTTTAGTGCTTTTAGAGACAGCATCTTGCTATGTTGTCCAGGCTAGTCTTGATCTCCTGGCCTCAAGAGATCCTCCCATCCCAGCCTCCCAGAGTGCCATTGTGCCCAGTTGGATGTTTTTGTATTAAGTGTTTTAAATAATCTAGATTTTTTCTTCATGCATCATTATCGCCTTAGAAATTTATGGAGCTACAGATTCCTGCATCTTTATTTTTTTAGGCACATAGCCTATCTGTTTTCTCAGTCCTATTAATTCCTTCATTTGGGTTTTTATATCTTATTTGTTGCTGACTCCTCTCATGTTCTTCTTTAAATCATTTTTATTTACTTTTATTTTAGTAGTTTTGGGGAGGAGGAGAGAGAAATACATATGTTTAATTCACTATATTTAAGTAGAAAGCCAGGTGGTTCTTTGTGCATGCTGTTTATCTCCTTAGGCTCTATTTTGTGGGTGGTTGGATGGCTCTCGGTGAGGCTATTACGTTCATAATATTGCATTTTTGTTTGTGATTTAGAATTTGTTTGCCATTGCTCAGATGATTCTGATCCATAGCTGCAAAGTTGGTTACCTCTTGCCCTTTTATGCCTGTTTAACTTCAAGGAAGTATCTTTTTAAAGTTTCAAGCAAAGGATTTGTTAGTTGGTCCTTGTAATCTGCTGCCTTTGGGTATGTCTTCTCACTAGTTCACCAGTTTCACTGTATTTGATCTGAAACTTATTATGGTTTTTTTTTTTTTTTTTTAGGATACGTTAAAATTTGGTTTAATAATTCTTTGCGGCAAAAAAAAAAAATCACATTTGTAGTGAACGAACAACAAACATTTTTACTGTAGCAGTAGGCTATCATTTTTAACTACCATCCCATGAATTCATAGGGAAGAGGTTCCAGTAGCTTAGGGAGGCACCTTGCCATTGAATGTGACAAAGCATTGATTGACTTCTGAATTCATGGGAAATAGGTTCCAGCACCTTGTATCACTGTTACATGGGGTCTAATTGGTCATCCTGTGTGCTATGCTGTACACCTGTCATGCCATGAGCTCATGGAGAGTAAATAGGTTCTTCCACCTAAAAGCATGGTCCACTGGTACTCCTGTGTGCTATATGCTTTATGCCATGAATTCATAGGGAATGGGTTCCAAGAGCTCAGGCTCCCTTCCCTTGGTTCTCACAAAGTGGGCTTCTCTGGGTGGAGCAGGCTGGCGCTTCACTTGAACCCAGGTACCTTTCTCTTTGGCTTCCTTCTTTTTCTGATTATTTTCCTTCACACATTTCAGGAAGCTATCTCGGCTCTTAGACTGCTTAATATGCTCAATACGAACTTTAATCCTCTTGGCAAGAATCTTGCCCTTAACTTGTTTGTTTACAACAATGCCAACAGCATGCTGGGTAACATTGTAGACTCTTCCAGTTTTGCCATGGCAACACTTGTGTGGCATGCCTTTTTGAACGGTACACATTCCCTTGATGTCTACAATATCACCTTTTTTGTAGATTTGCATGTATGTGGCCAAAGGAACAACTCTATGTTTTCTAAAAGGCCTAGAGAACATGTATCGGGGGCCTCTTCTTTTCCCTTTGTGTTTGTCATTTTGGTGAATTACTGGAAGATGGCGTCTCTGGCTGAAAGGCCTTATTATGGGTTTTTATAGTTTTATTTTTCAATCAGTCCTCTTTTCCTTTTTTCATTTTGGTGGTTTTCAAGAAGTTGAAGTAAACATACCTTCTTTCTTCTAAAATGCATTTAATATGATTTGAAAAAACAGTGTTCAAAGTCATATATTTCATTTAGGAAATTGAGTACCTGGGTAAGTGGCCATGCCAACACCTGTTTCCCAATCTCTTGTGTATAAGGTGCGATTCTAGTCTGATGCATTTGGATGAGTCTGATGCATTTCGTTGTAGTGCATTTCACGTCATGGTAAAGGGAGGACAGTCCTAAGAACAAGTACGCGTGTTGGAACTAGAGATGTGTAGAAAGTTCCTGTCACCACCTGTCTTACTGTCTCTCACAGTGCTTCTGCTTCTGTCTACAGTTCTGCTCTGGGACCTCCATGTTTTCTGGGGTCTAATTGGTTATCCTGTGTGCTATGCTGTACACCTGTTATACCATGAGCTCATGGGGAATAAATAGGTTCTTGCACGAACCTATTTTTTTTTTCCTGTGCTTGCCTGTGGTTTACCCTGTTCTCTTACAAGTTCAGCTTATACCTAAGCCATCATGGCCACTCCAGTCTCTCTCTCACCTGCATTTGACCATTTTGCTTCAGTTCTTGCTTGCTTGCCAGTGTAGTCTACTGTGTTTCTTATTCATATTTCTAAGAAGAAAAATGATAGGTCTAGCCCATCTTTTTGTTCTACTTCTGATTTATCCCTAGCCAAACAATAAATTGTCTGTCTGGATCAGGCGTCCAAACAGGTTAGGGAGTGTGGTGGAGTGGGAGAGGGAGCAATGGGCCAGTATGGAACCAGAGTATAGTTTATAAAATGACTACCTAAGCAGCAAGGAACCTGGGATGGGACAGTTCACCTTGGCAAGTGAGGGAGGAGGGCAAGCTAAACCTGAATACATAAAATATCTTCTTCTTCACTATGCTATTTTATTTTTTAATGCAGTACTTCAGGGAAATACTTAGTAGTGCAGATTGAGAATTGTAGGAAACTAGCAGCTTTTTTGAGTGTCAAAATTGACTGCAAAACCCTGCCCTGGTTTGATGTTATTTTCTGTTTGCATTATGACTTCAGTGGTATGGTGTAACAAAATGACCATTAAAAGGGAAGTCAGGAGTCTTAAATTCTAGACCTGTTTTTGCAGTTCTAAAAGGCTTCACATTCCTTGTCAGATAATCTTTTTAACAGATTGCTGGGGTAGAATAGTTTCTGAGGTACTGTCTAGCTGTAAAATCTGTGACTTAATGTATACTATACCGAGCTAGGAAAGGTAATTTCCACAAGTGTGGTCAGGTTACAAAGCTGTAACATGAAATCATAATATAAAAAATTAGAAGTAAGAGAATAACTAGACCACATGAGAAAGAGATGCAGGGATTTTGTAGTGGACCACACCCTTCTCATTTGTACTTGTTTTATTTGAAGATGAGGTGATCATCATAAACTGATAAGTCAGGCATTATAGACAGAAACTCTTTTCTCACCTTGAGTTCCACATCAACCTGTAATGCACTACTGTAAATATAATACTGAAGTTTGAAATGCTGTTGCTTGTTTATGCTTTTTAAAAACCACAGTAGGATATTGAGAATAGTTAAGTAACTTGGGTTTCTTTTACTTTTTAGGATTTAAGTGCCCTGTATGCTCAAAATTTGTACCCTCAGATGAAATGGATTTGCATCTCGTGATGTGTTTAACAAAGCCAAGAATAACTTATAACGGTAAGTTCAGTGCTTTAAAATAATACTTTAGATTAGAATTACCTTCCATTTTATGATTTTCCTGTTTCAAGTAAAATCTAAACAGCTAAGAAGGACCTTATTTTCTCTTTGCTGTTCATTAAAGCAGTGATTCTCACACTTTTTGTTTTGTGGACTCCTTTATACTTTAAAAAAAATTATTGAGGACGTTAAACAGGTTCTTTTTGTGTGTGTAAGTTACATATATCAATATCATATCAGAAATTAAAATTGAAATTTAATTTACCTTTAATGAATTCATTTAAACAAAAATATAATAATTACATTGACAATTTTTAAGTGGAAAATAAGTAAATTTTCTAAGACAAAAATACTGATTGAGAAGAGTAACATTGCTTGTATTTTTATAAACTGTTTAATATCTGGCTTGATGACAAAGAATTCTCACATCTGCTTCTGTATTCCTTTTGTTGTGGTATGGTGCGTCATACGTCCTCTGGAAAACTCTCCAGTTAGTCTAGAGCAGTGGTTCTCAACCTTCCTAGTGCCACAACCCTTTAATACAGTTGCTATGTTGTGGTGTCCCCCAACCATAAAATTATTTTTGTTGCTGCTTCACAACTGTAATTTTGCTACTGTTATGAATCGTAAAGATCTGATATGCAGGAGACCCCCAAAGGGGTCGCGACCCACAGGTTGAGAACCACTATTCTAGAGAGAATGAGGGTGAAAAGGCATATAATGTCTTAATGTTCTCAGCAAAATTGCTTTTACCTTATTAAACTAAAATGATCACCAACACTTCCTCATTTTTCATACTCTACAAGATTCTTTGGACCACATTTTGAAAACTGCTGCATTGAAATAAAATCTTTGAGGTCAGAATTAAGTAAAAAGTATTGTTCATAATGGCCATTTTCAAAAGTATAAGCATGCATGTTTGAAATAGCAACTTTTCTTTTTGTTTAAGAAGTAAATGAAAGGTACATATTTAGGAATAGAGAAGATACAATTGTATGTAATATCATAAATAGATGGCTAATGGGAAAAAAGGAAGGGATGAGGAGAAACCAGAACTCCACCTCTGCTATGTGTTTCTGTCTGTCTTCCCTTCCATAGACAAATAGAAAAATGTAGACTATGAGCCCTGAAGCTAATTGATTGGTATTTTAGTTAATAGTTCTGATGCTTTAGGCTATGCATTGTTTCTTGACCTAAATCTCTGTATATTCAGCACATTTGTGGAATAGATAAGCAAAAAATAATGTCAAAGTGTTCTGTCCTAAGTAATAAATAGAATAAAATAAAGGAAAAATGAAAGGTTTTTTTTTTGGGGGGGGGGGAGTGAGTCTCATTATGCCGCCCTCGGTAGAGTGCTGTGGATCACAGCACATAGCAACCCCAAACTCTTGGGCTCAAGCCGTTCTCTTGCCTCAGCCTCCCAAGTAGCTGGCACTACCGGTGCCCACCACAACGCCCAGCTATTTTTTGTTTTAGTTGTTACTGTTGTCATTGTTGTTTAGCAGGCCCAGCTCGAGTTTGAACCTGCCAGCCTAGGTGTATGTGGCACCATCACCACTGTGCTGTGGGTGCTGAGCCAGAAAAATGAAAGCTTTTTCAAAATTTTGTTAATAGAAAAGCAAATGTCAGAAGTTTAAGAAAAATTCCATATTTTTTAGATATCAATTCTGTTTGAAATAAAATAAATAGAAAGAGTAGCAGTAAACAGCATAGCCAATTGAAAGACTGGCTTATTTCAACAAATATCTTTTGAGCACCTGTTATGTAAGAAGGGCTATTATGTATGTGTTAGTGTGCAGGAGTATAGCAATGGCTAAACAGGTGGAGCTTACAGCCTACTAGTCACTGACCTAAGATTTATTGATTAAATGAAGGTATTACATGAAAAACATAGTAAATGCGGTAGCATTTTGTTAACTTAATCTGAAATTTCTTCTTTGGTAACAAAACTGTTAGGAGGGGTAGAACTCAACATTGAAATGAGCATATTACTTTGGATAGTTTTTGTGAATTGATCTAGAAACCGGCCTCTTTCTTTCTCTCTAATAAAATAACGGTTCAGCTCGACTTTACAGTAATGACATTAGAGCATGTTTTTTCCCATTAACTTCCCAATGAATAAGTGAAAGTGGCTTTGAGCAATTACTTTGAAAAGTAAAATATACCTGTTGATTATATCCCAATCTTTCTGCATTATGCAATTGAATTGACTATTTTGCATAATCTACTTGAAGTTCAGCTACTTAGGAAATAAAAAATGTTCCTATTCAGGTTCAAAATTTGAGGCTGAAAGTGTTTGGGCTTGTTTCTCATACTTGCTTTATTATGTTATCATTACATTTAAATACAGATGTCTTTAAGTATCCTTAAATGTTTAGCCTCTGGCCTTGAATTTAAATAGCACAAATATATGTCCTTCGACCATGTAATAATATATTTGTACACAATCTTGATTTTCTGTACATTTTGTGTATAATATCTAGAATACGGTCTTATTGTAAATGTGATATTTAACAGTTTTTAATTTCCTCTTCTACTAGTTCACTTGTTCAGTGTCTTAAAGAATCATTATACATATAGCCTTTTGCTTGAGGATACTGTAAACTGAAGTTTCAAGTTTTAAATATTTGACTGTATTCCAGTTCAGAAATTAATAAACTTCATGCAGAAGTAAATAAAGTCTCATGTATTTTTAAAGTAGCTGACCTGAATCTTTAAAATTTTCACAACAAGAAACAAAAACAATCCCTATGTAAAAACTATATGTAGTTTTTGAAGTTTTAAAATTAGCCTTTGGACAGTGGCCAGATAGGCTAAACAAAGAAGAAAGAAGCTTCGAGTGGCCTGATTGGGAGGGTTATAGAGAGGTGGCAGATTGCTGATGTGTTTTTCTATTATAGGCTAGGAATTGTAACACCACCTGTTTTAAAGGTACAGCCCCTCCCCCCAAATACTATCACAGGTGATGAGTTTATATGAAAATTGGCTTTTTTAATGCCTAAGCAGGGCATCTAGGATTATTGTAAAATTTAGAACAAGGTGAAGTCAGAGAATCTCTAAATCTTTTTAGTCTCTTGGACTCCTCACAGTTTTATGTATGAATTCTTAAATGGTGATTTTAGAGAAGGAGAGAGAGAGAGATGTCAGATAGATTGGGCCTCTAAATGGTGTTAACGTTCCAAAACAAAATTTTTTCATCATGTAGTTTATTAACTTACACTTTTTATAGGCTTTCCCAAAGTAGCTCAATCTGAAATTTAAGTTAGCGAGTATTAATTGAACTGTCTGTAAACATTTGTAGGTAGCAAGGAGAATAATTGGGTTTTTCAGCCTGGATATATTTATAGCTAAGCTTCCAAATAACATGAGTTCCAGGAATTTGAATATAAGTTGGTAAATTAGAGTTTCAAATTCTTTCTCACAGATAGATATTTTAAATACTGGTTTGGTTTTTAGACTAGCCCATGACAATTGTCTTATCTTTTTTTAAATCCATAATATGTCTGAACACCCAAATTCTAGTAACTGAAAAAGAAAATTAGCTGGCTAGGTGGAAGCTTTCAGGGTTTAGGCAGCTGCCTCAGCGGAAGTTCAGGAAGGCCCAAGGCAATCGTGGCAGAGAGGGATTCCTGATGATGTGGGTGGTGGTATCTACTGCAGATCTGTTTGGCAGAATGGAAAAAATTCATGATGCCACAGTGAGTGTTCTTCAACATAGATTGCCTTTAAGTCAAGGACTGCATATTTCATTATACTTTTCCCTCTTTCAGGTGCTTCATTGTTTAGTTTATAATCTAGTAATTCCTTGTGTAGTCTATGAAACTAATATACATTTTATGAGTCTAGAGACTACATTTCCCTATATAACTAAAAATGTTTCAGAACAAAAAAAATGAATGAAATATTAGCAAATCTTTAGTCTTTTTATTTTTAATTTCTGCATTAAAATGTATTATAAATGATAAATAATTACATGTATTATATATACATATTGTACATATTTGTGGGGTGAGCTTTTAATGTGTAATGATCAAATCACAGTAATTGGAGTGTCCATGACCTCAAGCATCTATCATTTCTGTGTGTTAGGAACATTCCAATTCCATGCTTCTAGTTATTTTTAAATATGTAATAAGTTATTGTTAATATTCATCTTCTTATACTGTTGAATGCTAAACTAGACTTTAATTCTAACTTTATTTTTGTACCCATTAACCTCTATCTCCCCCTCCTCACTACTCTTCTCAAATCCTGCTTTCTAGCTACATGGGATCAACTTTTTTTTTTTGTTTGTTTGTTTGTTTGCAGTTTTTGGCTGGGGTTGGGTTTGAACTCGCCACTTCCGGCATACGGGCCAGTGCCTTACTCCTTTGAGCCACAGGCGCTGCCTGGGACCAACTTTTTTTTTTAAGCATCCACATGTGAATGCGAATATGTAGTATTTGTCCTTTTGTGTTTTGCTTATTTTACTTAATATAATGTCCTCAAGTTCTATCCATATTGTTGCAAATGATAGAATTTCATTCTTTCGTATGGCTGAACAATGTTCCGTTATGCACCATGTTTTCTTTATCTATTCATCCTTTGAGAGAGGTTTAGGTTTATTGCATATTTTGGCTGTTGTGAATAGTACTGCAGTAAACTTGGGAATGGAGATATCTCTTAGATATACTATTTCCTTTATTTTGGACATATATGCATATACCTAGCCGTGATATTTTTGGATCATATGGTATTTCCATTTTAGTTTTGTGAGGAACTGCCAGACTGTTTCCATAGTGGATTTACTCATTTATACTTTTAGGGACTTCCCTTTCTCCACATACAGGCCAGCATATGTTGTTACCTGTCTTTTAACTGTAATTTTGATTTAGCACATTCTTACTCTTGATTGCATTGATCTTTAAACTCCACTTGGGTGGTGCCTCTGGCTTAGTGGGTAGGGCTCCGGCCCCATATACTGAGGGTGACAGGTCAAGCCTGGCACCGGCCAAACCACA